GACTTCCAGTTTTGTGTAAAGCTCCCTGTCCTCGAAAAACGAGATTCCGGCTGATGTGTTTGTCGTCTTTTGCGCAGGCCCGACTGTCCTGGAGGTGTTTAACACTCTGCTGAAGCACCTGAGCTTGAGTGTGGATTTTGAACTGGGCCAAGACTCTGATGGCAAAGGCAGCCTCAACAGCCGTACGAAGGAGAGCGATGAAAGATCGTCCAGAATGCCATCATTCAAACTATTGGTGAGTCAGTCAGATAATTCCCCTTAGGTGGGTGTATGTTAGCAAAAAATTGAAATCCTGTGTTGCATTGGGGGGGGGGGAGCTTCATGATGGAGCTGAGCTTTTGAACCCAGGTCCTCACCACAGGACTGTAGCTACGACACCAGCCACCACGCTGGTTTCATCTTGCAAAGTGCTTAGAAGAACTTTCTACCAAGATGGGACGCAGTTCAGTGCTTCTCTTCTGTTTCGAGAAATTGGGTCATTTCACCTTGGGAATGACAGACATTTGTGGGGCTCAGAATAAACCTAGCCTTTCTAAGAGACCTCTCAGAAGCAAACCACAAGGGGAGCTGGCCTGGTCTGGGTGATCTTTCTCAGCTTATTAAACGGGCTCCTCTCCTCCTCCCAGCCGTGTGCTTTCAACGCTTTGTTTATGGGTTTTTTAAGCCAGAGCTGCCTGTTACATCCAAACCAGGAAACTCAGGCCTAATGACTGTCTTAATGTCAAGATTAACTAACATTTAAAGCAGAATTTCTTAGTTTGGACATCAGGGGAACACTGGAATGAAGTGCTCTGAAGCCCACATGGGAGGGGAGGAATGTTTGGGCCAGACTCTCATTCCCAGCTTCATAAACTGGGGGAGATTGTCCAAACCAGACGAGTGACTCAGATTTGTTAACACAAGGCAGCCGTTATTTCAGAAGATCTGGTGGGAGGAAGACAGTGATGTGGACTCTCTTGAATTCTCTGGCCTTCTCTGTTTTATGAACAGATGGCCCAGCATTGCCTCATCCTTCCCTTTTCCGTTCCGTAGGTTTCTTTGGCAGCAACCTCCCAGATTACCAGCGCTCCGAAATAATGATGTTCGTTATGGGGAAGGTCCCTGTGTTTGGGTCAGCATCTCAGACTGTGGACACCAGCCAGCTGGGGTTTGTACTTTCCCTCTTGCCTGTTCCAGAACTCTGGTGGCAGAGCTGATGCTCTTAAAACTGTGGCCTGCTTTTGCGCTTCCTGCTGTCTTTGCAATTCCACTGGCTTTGAGGGAAGATGATCCCTTGGCGAACCCTTAGGGATACGGTTAGCTATAAATAAAAAACAATTAAGCACCTGCAATTGATCATTTCCCCCCAGTACGCACATACTAAGTATTTGTTTCAGGCATGGGAATGAGGTTACGGTTGATCCAAAGGCCTCCCAGGAAAAAATAATTCCGAAAGCAGGGAGAGAGGTGGCACTGCGTAGCCGACAGGTCTGGGAGCTCAAGACTCAAGGGGTGGCTGCCTGCAGAAAGAGAATGTGTGAGATTGCTTAAGAGAGGAGGTGATCTGAGGGTGACAGAATCGGTGAGCATGTCTCACAAGCCCAGAGGTCTTGTTCACTGAGGATTGTCTCTGGTCCTGCCTTTCCGACAGGTTTCCTGCAGAATTGCCCCAAGAACCAAGTTGTAAAAAACATTTCGCTTACTCTTTGCTGCTATGAAGGGATCCTGCCAACCATTTTATGCATTTCACACTTTCTCAATATGGGGGCTTGGAGATGGAGGTGCCCAATAAAAGCAAGTGTGATAACCTGTGGGAGATGAAATAATTAAGGAGCAGCAGTAGCAGGCAATGTGGGCAAGGATACGGCTGCTTACTTGTCTCACTTGCCTGTCACGGTGCCTTGGCACTGGAAGTGCAGCAGAAAATGTGTACACCACTTCACTCGATTGTTCTTATTTTGCAAAAGGAGCACTATCGCCCATGCATTTCATGTGATCCAGAAAAGGGAGAGAAATGCTGGCTAAAACAAGAATTTGCCCTATGGTTGGAATTCATTTGAGGAATGTATGAGTAACATATAATCATCCTCAGAGTAGATCCACTGAACTCAATGGAGTTCATTGGTATACATGGAGAATGAGTTAGCTGAATATCACTGTCTGTTTTCAGGAGAATAGAGCATACGGCATTGTGAAATTTTGAGTTCTTGATGTGCCTTTAGCTCCATTCAGGCATTCAGTTGCCTTGCAAGAGAACAAAAAAGAGTGAAGTCATAGTAGCAAGCCCCAAGCCTCCCCCCATGCATCACCCACCCTTACTTTATCACCCTCCATAAGTTGAAGGGCTCATTTCTGGAGTGGGGAGCACCCTGTACTCTGTCATGTCAATGCTGGCATGAGAACAGGCACCATGGAGTGCACAGTTTGTCATTTCATACACTGCTGCCGCCGATGTGTGTTTTCTACTGTTGTATGTTCTATTATTCTAGAACAACCAGGCTTTTAAGCAAAAGAACAACCACCCATCGGCTTTTAGATTGGTGGGAGATGTGAAATTGCAAGACGGAGAGAGCAAAGTAGAGGCTTAAGCAGTGTGTAACAGTGGGGAGGAGATAGCACTTGCACCACAGTGATCTGTGATATGTTACAAGAGTGTACCTCCTTTTAACTGTGCAGTGATGGAGGTACAGTCTGGTGGAAAACATTTCATTCTCTCTCTCTCTCTCTCTCTCTCTCTCTCTCTCCCTCTCCTCTCCCTCTCCCACCCCCACTATTCCATGTTCAAAAGCCAACCAAGCTTGCTTGCTTGAGTGTTGGCAACAAGAAAACATTCTCCACTACATGTAAGAGCATCAGGCTAGCTTGGCAGCACAATGTGCACTATGTGGTACACACAGCCCTTTCCTCCAACACCTCTTCAGAGGCTCCCACCCCTTCAACATTTGTTGTCTACAGTGGTTACCTCGTTCTACCTAATACTCGGGCTGGCCTTCAGCTATGACAAACTACTACAGTGCATCATTAATTTGGGCTCTTCATTGTAGATCAAAAAACCCTAAATAATCCACATGAGCAACTCACCATGAACTGAGAGAAGCTGGAAAACAACATGTTCAGGGTTCCCCACCTCCACAGCCACAACTAGGCACTGAAGTGGCCGTGAGAATAGGCCCTTTGTGTATACCCTCAGCTCCTTATATAAAGAAGAAGAAAAATTACATGTAGGCCTTCTTCCATCTGCTTTTGTCTTTTAGTTCAGGTGACAGAGGACTAGAAATGTTGCACTGGAGAGCTGTGAGCTCAGTTGCCCATGCAAGATGCAAAGAAAAAGAGCAGAGTGTTTGAAAGCAGGGGAAGGCTTAGATCATTACACACGGACAGCCATGCATGACTCTCTGTCTCTTTTTCACACAGAGAATCCCAAGGACTTTTCATTCTCTTCGAAGATCACAGGCAGAAGACAAAATCTGTGAGAGCTGTACAGTTCAATCTTTTTAAAGAGAAGTGGGAGAGCACTGTGATCTGTGCTCCGGCTTGCCTAATTAAATGAAAGGTTGGGCAGATGGGAGCTTCCTTCTCATCGCATAACAGAATTGTGGCTTGTCCTGTCAAATGTGGTTCTCTTTAAAAAATATATATATGAACAAATGAAAGGAGAATTATCCTGCAATAGATTGCATCATATTGCATCTTCGGAAGCCTCACAAATGACTTGATCTCTAATAAGAAATGAATTCAGAAGTGGTTTGCTCCTGCCACAAAATATAATGCCTGCTTTCTAGCATCAGATCAGCCTGGCACCAGGATCTTTCAGATGTTTATAAATATGAGCATAACTAGCAAAGCCATCCAAGAGGAAGACTGCTGGGCTGGAAGGGAAACAAGAGCCCCCCTGGGGATTCCCCCTCCTTTTCCCCGAGAAAGGATTTAAAGGGGAGAATAGAAAACCATACACCACAGGCCCTGTTCTGAGTTTTACACGCAGCAGGAAAGCCTTTGGGCTTTTTAGTTGGTAATGCATAGAGTCCTGTGTAATTCAGACATGATCAGCAGAGCACAGAAGCGACCAGAAATTCTCTTTATGAGCTACATACTGCCAGATTTTTCAAAGAGCCGTATTAGAATGTATTATTGTGATTAGATTATCCTAACGTATAAAGCCCAGGGAAGAATGTGCTCCCAACAGAACCCCATATCCATGCTACACTTGTTTTTGGTAGCAGTAACGTGCCCTACAAAGGCATACTGTTCAATTATCCTCTTGCTTTTTCTACCATGATAGATACAGATTCCTACTATGTGCCAAATTGGCATCTAATATGGCCAG